AGTTTGGATCACTGAACTCAGATGTGGCTGGCCAGTGCGTCTCCTGGATAAAGCAGACATGCGCAGGCTGCTGTTGCACGGCTTCGTCCTGCAGCCACTGAAGCAGCTCTGCCCATCGGGCCTTGTGTAGGCCTCCTGAGTTCCAAGTAATTATGCGAATTCCTGAAGGAGGCTTACGCAGTCTGCATTTGGGTCTAAGGGCTGAGGTTGGACGCATGGTAAAGGTGGTGCCCAAGGTGGGAGCTTCATGCAGGCGTCCGCGATACGGCACTCTGGCCTGCGACTGTGCCAGGGATCTGGCTCTAAGGAAGGCTAATTTACGCGGGGTTTGCAAGGCTGCTCTACTTCGTGGTGCTGCCTGTGCCTTTTGGAGCAGCTCAAGCACGATGAGCATGGCGAAGAGTCGGGCCAAGCGTGGTGCGCAGCTTCCCTTCCTACGCATGACGGGTGGGAGTTTATGTGTTAGGGGTTGTGGCTGATACCAGCTTGCCTTGCCGAAACGGCGAACTCTTCGGTCTTGCCCTCGGCACTTCCTTATGGTGGTCCAGTGATGTGGTGCTCCCTTGTCCCTGGTGGCCCTTAATGCTGTTCCTACCAACCATAGAACAAACAATCCAATCACCGGGGTTTGGAGATTGCGAGGCAACTCTGGTGCTGGTCCAGTCTTAGTCTGCATTACGTCTAGGATTTCGAGCTCGTTGAAAAGGTGAAACAGTGAGCTACAAGGATTCCCTTGGAAATTCCCCTTCTTGGGTTGCGGGCCGCAGTGGTTCGTGTTCTTGTGAACCTCTGGGGTTTCAGATTGTTGGACTCCAGGAGGGCGTCGGCCTACTACTCCTCCAACCCTAGCATCCGCGGACATCTGATTGTTGTGCATATAAGTCGGATAAGCAAAAGGTAAAGGGTGCACTAATCCAGAATCAGCGTCGTGTCCGCCTCCGGCATTGGGACCGGAGCAGCTCCATCCATTCCCTGACCAAAAGTGGTGGGCCCTCCATGTTAGCCATTCATGAAAAATCTCCGCTGCCTTTGGCCTGACTGTTCTGATCCTCAGCGACTTCGTCATTTCGAGAGGAGCTAATGGGAACACCGCTGTAGACAAAGTCCAAGAACTCTGCCTTGTCGTCTGGTCCAAGCATTGTGAAAATGAGCAGCGGCTTGGCATCTCCCATGCCACATGCGGCTCTCTCAATAGCTCTGCGAACCAGGGATCCAGGCTGAGGGCCGTGTTGCTGCCGGATCCATCGCTGAATGAGATCCAGTCCAGCTTCGAAGGCCCGGTCTCGATCCTCGCCATTAACTCGATCGTCTTTAAACAAGTATGTGTAGAACCACAGATCATTCTCTCCGACTGGATGAGAGGATATTCGTTCCCAAGCATCGATGAGAATTTGTAGTTCTTCGCGTCCATACTGAAGTCTGTCCGAGGTTCGGTTGCAAATATCGCGAATGCCGACCCCAGACATCTGCCTTCCCGCCCAGGTTGCCTTGGCTGATATTGCTTGTTCAGACAGGCCTTGGCGACGGAGGTCATGACGATAGACCAGAATGCAAAGCTCCTTAATGATTTTCCTGACGAATTGCATCCATTTGGCCTTGAACCTGGTCGTTTCCTCCGGTGTTGGCCCATGTTGCAAATCTTGCATGTGCCGCTGGCTCACTTTCTGCTGCTGTGAGCAGTAGAGGATATTGCGCCGCCAAGAAGGCTCGAACCCTTCTATGTTTCTCCACCGGCAGCGTTGCCCTTGAGAAAGCCAGCAGGCTTACAGCGTCCTGATCTGCTGTCAGGTTGTAGGTCAACTGCAGAATGTAAGACTTGATGGGCTCGCTGGAGCTGATATCCAAAAGATGTTCAGTTACTTCCTCAAGGATGCGTACCCGAAGGTGAGTAGCAGGCAGAATGTTCGCAGCGCAGCAGGCCTAATGGCACGGAGTTTAACCAAATAAAAGCTAACGGGCCTCGCTCGGAGCCGAGATGCTTGATGATGATGATGATGATGATGATGCTGATCATGAAGACGATGATGGGCCTTTGCTGCTTACAAACGCTTTGGCGACATTCATATCTAGTTTTGGAAGAGGACCTCCATGACTAAGTGTTTGTTGGCATTCTGTTGCTCGAGCTTGCGGCACAAAGCGACCTGCAAGCGGAGACCGCTACCGAACCCAAACGCCATGTGGAAGAAGATCCTGGCCGGACTCGTGGCCAGCGCAGCGGCCGAGGAGGATGCCTCCTGCATGCTACAAGCCAGGCATGCAGACTCCATCCCAGCAAGCGTCATCAAGGAAGAGTTCTGCCAGGGACCACCCGCCGAGCTGAACTTCGACAGCTTCATGCACGGCGACGAGATCATGGAGGACTCCATCAAGGGAGTGAACATCACAGCCATGCGACGTGCCTCGGAACCGCAGCCAGGGCAGCCTCCTTGCCCAGGGCCTTTGCGGGTCTTGGACACCCGGGGGCAGATGTTCCCTAGCATCGACAAAGACCTGCAGAATTGCGGGGATTGCAGGATGATGGTGTATGCCAAGGACAATTTGGCAGTGGAATTGAAGCGACCCAAGGTCAACAGTTGTGGAGAGCAACCCGGTCCAAGAATGAGTTTCCGGTTCAAGAGATTGCAGAATCTCGTGGACATCGAGCTCTGGGACCTAGAGGAGCCAACCTTCATAGAGCTCTATGGCCCCCACGACGTGCTGCTTGCCAACATCTCCGCCCCACAGGGCCTTGAGCAAGATGGCCAGCCAGCAGTCCTGGAGCTCATGACCAAAGGCGTGCGCGAGCTGGTCGTCTACTTCGGGGGATCAGGGGCCGTCAAGAAGATCCGGGCTTGCAAGCCCCAGGGCAGCGTCTTCGGCGACCCCCACATCTACACCCTGGACGGCGACAAGTTCGACTTCTACCAGACGCCTGACCTAGAAAGCAGGCTTCAGCAGCCTGCCCCCCCTTAAGTAGATAGAATATGGCTCTGGGTAAAAGACCCCCATATGCCCCATATTCTATCTGCTTAAGGGCCCTCTCCATCTGCCCAGAAGGCCCAACTTCCGCTTGCCACAGCTCAAACCCCTGAGTAGCCAAGGAACGGTACCTTCTCAGTGTTCCACTATTACGGTCAGAAGCTGCCACACCCTACCGACAAGAACGCCACTGTTGACTGGCAGCTTGGATTCGCTCCTCAGGATTGAAGGTTTTCGAGAAAGCCCAAACTCGTAACTATTTATCCGTATTTTTGACGTATTCGCTCAAGAAAATCAAGGGCAGGAACTTATGCAATAGGCATCGAGATTATTCTTGGGAGAAATCTTATATATATATATATATGGGCTCGGGGCTGTGAGATTTCGTAATTCATTCCAATACTTCGATATGGGACGCATTAGCTTCATTAGAGGTTATATGATGTATTCATTTATTTTATATAGTTATCGCAATCCTTTTGTCAGAAAAAATATTCTGAGAGCACATTCGCTACCATATAAGGGCAAGATCTCTAATATAAAAAATGCTGGACCCGGATCTAGGAATTCACGGTTTTGGATTCTATGAGTTTTAGTTTCAGGCTTGTCTTCGAAGAATCGAACGATCTCTGGCAGGTTTAGGGCAGCATGCCATGCTGAGACAGACACTGGTCCACGCCTGACACTAGACCGGGATCGCTCCGCACTTGCCTGGGTTGCTGTTAAGG